GTGGAAAGTGGGGGAGCTGGTGGGGGAGCAGCAAGCTCAGGGGGAAGGACACAGAGGGATGAGCACCTATGGAAATAGCCCAGTGACTGGGTTTGAGCTTAGCTGGGTCAGGCTGGGTGGAGGATCAAAAGGCCGTGGGATAGGTGGAGAGCCTGGAGTGGGAGCCAGGAGAAGGAATGACTTCCCAGCATCAGAGAGGGGAAAAAGGGCCCAGAAGAAACTCAAGGAGCCTCTGTCTCTTCCCACATCTGACTCCTTCTCATCCTTCAAATCACAGCTGAAATGTCACTTCCTCAGAGAGGCCTGCCCATGGCATCTGGGTCAGTCCTCTGTTGTTTCCATCACAACACTGTTTATTTGCTTTCTCACAAAATAATGATTTGGCCATTACTTGTTAATTTTTTTATTTTTCTTGAATGAAAGCAAGACTTTCCTGTCTCGGGTACCTCTAAATTCGTAGCCCCTCATATAGCCCTTGGCACATAGTAGGTGCTCAGAACATGTTTGTTGACTGAATAAGCAAATGACAGAAGTTGCCAAGAGGCAGGAAGGAAATCAGGGAGGGCAGTACGTCTGGGCCCAGGAGGAAATTGAAGAGAGCCAGTGTGTAGTAAATTAAACGTGGAGCAAAACAAACAGAGTCAAGTGTCTGTTGGATTTGGCAACAAGGAAGCCGCTGGAGACTTGGGCAAGAGCAAAGGAAGGTAGAGGTGAGAACTGGTGGCTGTGACTCAGCTCTCCTCCTCTAGTCCATGCTTACTAATTAACCCAGTACCTGTGAGGAGGAATCAGCTTGGGGAATCAGCTGGGTATTTGCAGGCAGAGGTTGATCCCAGGGACTCTGAGAGGCTTTGAGGCCTGGCAGTGAGGTGTCAGATCAAATATCTCTAGAGAGCTCTTCCCTGAACATTCCTACATGTGTGCTCCCCACTCAGCACACCCAGTTTTTTTTCCTTTAAGTTATTTCACACTATCTAAAATTCTTTTTCCTTTTTTAAAGATTTTATTGGGGAATTGGGGAAGGGGAACAGACAAGTTCCTGTCCTTTTGTTCTTCATTTTAGTGGAGGACGTCACCTCACTGGCCCATGTTGGTATTGTGATCATTGCGCTCTTCCCGGCTGAGGCAGTTGGTCACCAGCCACTGGACAGCCGCTCACGGCGGCTCATGNTTCAGCTTCAAGCATCACTATTTTACAGTGTATCCCTTTAGAGCTACCACCTTTCATTAATTTTGAGAAC